CCAGGGTTGACCACCTCTCTGTTTACATTTCTATACCCAAGGCACGTACCCAGACGCACACGCGCATGCACAAAATCCACCTCAGACCAACATATCATCAGACATCATCCAAAGGATGATGTAATATACATAATATAATGCTGTAGCATTATGATGCTGATACAAAATAATATACATAAGAATAGTCAAAGAATCATAACCGGTGTGTCCAGCTTAGAACGTTTTTCAAGAACCAAAGTGACACTAGATAACAGCTGAAAACGCCTTCAGTGTGTATGTCGAGAATTAGGTTTCCTCTCATCGTCTCACGTGTCGGTGGTCTGCATCATCCGGCTGCATCGAGTCTATTGTCCAAAGGCTTACTGCAGTTCGGTCAAGCGATGACAAATGTTCTTTGGATTACATAATCGTTGCCAGACGAATCGACTGATGCTCGACAGCCACCAACGGCACTGTTTAGCCGGATAAGACAGCACAGATGACATGGTCGGTTGGTACATTTGTAGGTGTCATAAACTATGACCACATCTGAAGCCGATGGAACGGACAACATAGAACACACGCTGTTGGGGGAATATCCGGTATAAAGCTTCCACGAAAGGTATTGAAAACTCAAAAGCAGCATGCGGAACACTTCCCGGAAGTGTACCGCCAAACAACAGGCACAAGAGGGTCAGGCAAAACAGCCTGAAAGTTTGAAAGTTTGGTAATCTGAATTAATTGTCAAAATTATAACGGGACAAATTTACTAGTCCAGTTTATTAAACCACATAGATGCATTCTTCTCTTGGTTGAATGTTGAAGTTCGTTGACATTTGAATAACAAGTTTTGGTTGTCTGTGTTGTAAGCTCAATGCAAGTCGTACCACTACGCACCTTCTCACATGATGCGAAAGCTAAGGTGATTCTTCGAGCATATATTCAATCCCCGAAATTTTTGGATCAGTTTTTTGGCTGTCATGACCATTAGGTGATGCCTATTTAACGGCGGATACTACTGATGAGGCGTGCCAGTAGTATGTGATTTTCTCGTTTCGCGGATAATGGAAGGTGGGGGTTATTGAACAATTGCGTGATAGTCGATGAATATCCATGAAATTTTAAGAAGACGCGTGAGGATGTTCAGTTTTTAAAAATAAGGTGCATATGAAAGATCCACTTTCCAGTTTAGTAGTTTGTAGCTGTTTAGTTGGTGTCCGCTAATAAACGACTACGCGGCAAAGAGCTTTCCTCCTTTCACCGGTAGTGATAATCCTGCTACAACAATGAGGGATTTCATAGGTAGTAGAAGGCACCGTCTGCGCATGGCGAACACATTTCAAAAAGAAATATTCTAAAGTGGGCAGATCGGAAAATGAATGTCGTTTTCCTGACAGAAATCAAGTCTTATATACTCGGACAAACAGCATATTTCAAGCAGTCTGTAATCGTGAATGAACCTGAGAATATTTGGAATTCGGAATTACTGGAGATCAGTTGCTCGAAACATGTTTTCGTGCTCGGGGAACGCTGAGATGCATCCCGAGTACGGAATTCTCTAGCATCGTGTAACACTAGCTTTTAACGTCAGTACTCTATGTCAAATAAACGAATAGACAATGCTGGCTGCAACGTTATACTCCCATAAAATTGATGTATGTCGTGTCTCCAAAAGGGGCATACAGGACCAAAGCTTAGTCATATACCCTCAAACGCCAAGGACGAACTCAGCGCTTTCACATTTCTCCCTCCATGTGTCCGGTTATCCAGAAGCGATGGCTCGTGAATTATATGGCGTGAGAGTTGCACTCAGCCCCAAGGCTGGATGTGCTTTGGTGAATTGGTTCCTAGTGAATGGTCGGCTTTGCGACGTCCGGTTATTGAGCTCAATCAAGCCCAATGCCTTAAAAAGCAGTGCCTATTTGGCGCGTAGGCTTATTCCCCAAAGGATTGCAGTTCTGATGCTGAGAAGGATCTTTTCTATCGAGAGTTATCCGGGTACATTAGTCAAGAAAAGAGCACTGATATTGTGATCCATGCGGGCGATATGAATGCCAAAGAGAGTCACGGCACCATCACGCGCACTCAAGCATTGGATATCAGACCAAGTTGTGGCATTGCTTTAATCTCGGGGAAATAACCCAGCCAGTCCAGAACATAACTTGTCCCGACAAACTATCGGACGTCAAGTGAAAGTAAGCGTGCCAGCAGACAGTGAACTGTTGGACACAAACAATCAAGGAAATGGAAGGGACCCAGAAAGCCGGAAATGTTTGAAGATTATTTCAGTTAATTCGTGCGACCGGTCCTCGGAAATCACCAGTGAGCAGAACCATCAAAGATCGGAAGGTAAAGACCATCTTGAATAAAGAAGAGCGCGTCGACCTGCGCGCCGAATACCTCAAACAACCATTGTTGTGGCCACCAACTGCCGCTCATCTGGAGCTCACAGTCAATATAGATCTGGGCGGCTAACGTGGAACCGCCCACGGACTCGGGGCTTCACGACTGCATATGTTCACTCAAGCACCACCGAGCTTCTGGCCCGCATGACCTCCCACCCGCATTGGGAGGGGCAAAGTCCTCAGTCGACGCTTGTCTGATCTATTTGCTCGCATCTGGGAAAAGGCCTCTGACCCAAACTACTGGGAAGAGTTATAGATAGCGCCCATTTCCAAAAGAGGGGCTCGCAATGAGTGTGGTAGCCACCCCGGTCATAAGGAAAATTTTAGCGTCACTTATGCCTCGGAGCCTTATGATGACGCGTGAAAGAGAGTAGAAAGCAGGATTTCGGCCTGGTAGGGGTACTGTCAACCAGATCTTCACACACCGTCAGGTGCTAGAACAATGTTGTACGTACAAGCGACCCACAATTATAGTATTCTTAGATTTCCAAGGGGCATTCGAATTGGATGACCGGTCTGTTCCTCTTGAGACGCTTGTCCAACAAGAAGTGCTGCGGAAATTAATGAACATAATTAGGTCCTTGTATTTCCAGACGTTCGAACGTGTGACAGTATACAGAGAACGCTCCGAAAGTTTCTGTATACAAAGTGGTGTCCGTCAGGGATGCTCACTCCATTCCTTTTCAACTTTGTGGTCGATGAAATACTGAGATAAACGCTGGAGGATCTCCAAAACCTTGGTGTTTAAATAGCCTCTGACGAAAACCTTGACGATCTGATATCGTTCTCATTTTAAAGAGTAAAAAAGGGCGCAGGTATTTTTGGGTGAACTGACAAAAGTCATCCCGTCCTCTGGTATGCACTTTGCACCTACAAAGTGTAAGGTCATGCTCCTGGACGTGCAGTCACTGAACGCACCACTTAAAATCCAAGGGGGTACTGAAAGTTGTGGAGCGTTTTACATATCTTGGAAGTTGTATTAATTCTCATTGTAGTGTGGCAGATGAAGTGAATGCACGAATCTGCAAGGCTCGGGTCGCGTTAGCTAATTTGAGACACCTACGGCTTCAGGATGGTGTATCCCTGAGACTCAAAGGAAGAACATATCAAGCCGTTTTGTCGCATGGCTGTGAGACTTGGCCTATTCGAGCAGCGGAACTGAGACGTCTTCAGGTGTTTGACAGTTGTTGTCTCAGAACCATAGCTCGTGTGGGTTGGCGTCGGTGAATCCGTAACAAGGCAGTTAGCAAGCACGTTTTTTGGTTGTGCAACGGGTACTTCCATTGAAGAGTGTCCAGCACCAGAAGCTGCGTTTGTTGGGACATGTGTTGCGTATGCCGAACCATCGTTTGCTGAAGAGAGTGCTGTTTTCCATGCCGCATTCAGAGTGGCGTAAACAGAGAGGTGTCGGACCCTACTTCTGATAAGTTAGCTGTGTGAAGGCTGAAGGATTGGGCCTACAGAGTCAGCCCATAAATAGCGGCGAAGCCCATAGTAACTTGTCAGGATTTTCTCCGATATGTGAGTAGCCACGGGAAGACGACTGCGGATACCAAAATATTTTGAATTATACCTTGGGTCCTAGAAAGTGATCCTGTTATATAATACCACAGGATCCGTGGGTGACACTGCAGACAATGTGAGGTTTATTTTCTTTACTTTTCTCTACTTTCTAACTAATAAGCCAGAGTTGTATTCCTCTGAGGCAGTAGTTCGTGGTATGACTGAAAAGTTTTAATGACTGAGGGTGGATCTGCTGCACACATTCGAGCTGATGTGACCGTGGCGATCCTCCTTCAGCTCAGCTGTTCCGTCGATCGTTTGTGTGTTTGCGCTGTTTAGTTCATACGGTCAAATACACAGATCCTTCAAACAGGTGGTCCTCATCCTGGTTGGGCATTGAGACAATGACAAACCTGTGTTGTCTTTCAAAGTATTTGCTACTTGCTAGGTTTTACAGCTTTACTTACTCTTATATCTCGGTTTCAACCTGAGTGACAAAACTGCAAACCATCTAATCCTAGGTTGATATCGGGTGCCCGTTGTATGCAGCGAGTTACCGCTCAACCTGGCAGCAACAGTTAAACCTGGAGTGATATTACTGACAAAACAATCTGGTCGACAATTCGATGCAGCGAACTTTAGTGAGTCCAGCCAGAAGCAGCTTCAAACAGTGTCCAGGGCGTACCATCCAGGTTGGAGTTGGCATTTTGCTAATTGTCCCCGGTATTTACAGAAGGGATATTGTGTCGAAGCAACCCAATTGATAGTTCGGTTAGATCAGTTACTATCAGGAAGGTCAGATCCCTGAAATCAACTTCTGAACGCCTGGAACCTACTGCTCTACCAAAAGCTCAACTGGAAAGCCGGCGAGCATCCAGGCCAGTCAATCATTCGACCAATTCAGTAAAATCTGATGAGTGTTCTCTGCGCCACAGAAGCACGACCGAATGTGATCAGCGTTCGGGCTTTTCACAGAGGCACGATCGATGTTGATGGGTGATCACTAACGCCTATCAGACAGCCTGGATCAATGTCAGAAAGTCCCCTTTAAATAGCGTGGGGCCGTTGTAACTTTTGCACTCGCTCTCGCTCTCGCACTCGCACGCACTCACTCGTTTGTTCGGAATACAGCTGTTGTGTTCCCTTCTGTGAGTCTTTTCTCTCCGACACTAGGCACTGCAGCGGGTCAGCAGCAGATACCTCAGATTGACGAAACAGTAGATTAATAGATTGGCGACGCCCGAACCCACAGAATGATGACAATAACTGCTGAAGCGATGAAAAAATTCTGCTGCAACAACCTTTACGATTTTTGTATTAAAACAGTTGATATTTTGAGGGACAAGGAAGCGGCAGCTTGTAACAAAAAGACGATGACTGTAATTGATATTATGAAAACAATTGTGCCAACTTACCAGAATACTGCTCGCCAAGTCTAAAACCATCCGAAAATGAAAAACTGATTAGGTCCTCAGGTAACCAGAGAGCGAGCACTGTGAATTATAAATCCACGTCACCATATTAAAATAGTCGGTGAAGAACTGATCTGTACATCATAAAAACACATGAGCATTTATATTCTCCCTTGCTATGGTGCAAACTGCCCCCGATAGCGTAACTACGTCTGTCTACACTTGAGCATCAGTTAAAAGCTGAGTGTTTTCCTAATTTCTTCGAGTGCTTTAGTACCACATATCATAATACACCTTGAAAACATGTATAATGTCTTTGGATACGAGACAATTAGTTACTGACACTAATGTAAGGCGCAGCTAATGCATCCAAGCGATGTTTCTGCCACGGATAATGAGAGGTGCTGAGGTGGTTTCCACTGCTCATTTGTTGTTGTCTATGCTTTTTCCGATAATTCTGAGGCACTCAACTGTGACCCATTCTCCTCGTCATATCCGTTTTTCTGTAAACAGGCACCTTTGTCGGCTTCTTGTATGGAGTCCGAGTAACTGGCAACAAGGATTAACAAATACGTCATTTGAGCTGATATTGAGTGAGCTCTTGTTTCCGGCATCCATGGACACCTTTCGTTTGCAGGGCTTCATGAGAGCGTTTGGTCGACCACTACACTCACGCCAAAGATAGCAGCCATACCGTTTCCCCATAATGCATGTGCTTGCTACGTGCCTATCATTTTAGCTGGGATACCCAGGCTTGCACCCAAACCGTCGTTTAGTTCATAATTTTTATTCTTGCTTCAGTTTCTCTCAAAATGCTCAAAAAGTGTGTTGGCTGTAATAAAACTTTTTACCTCAGCAAAGCGAAGTTTTACGAATAGGCAAGATTTCCTACCAATGCTGATCAGCTTCATCAGCAGTCACGGGCCGGTTAAAGGCAGACTTAGTTTTCCCAACATAAACTGTCGCGTGCTAGCTCAGCTTGCCAGATTTAAATTTGTAAGCTTGTGGGTTATCTCCATGGGTACTTAACTGCGGTCGCGTTTCCCCAACAAGGCTGGTAAGGCAGATGGACAGAGTTTGTTCACAAAAAGTACTTTGCAGGGACACTTTCTGATGACGCACATAAGTAAATTGAAGGAAATAGGCTGCCGTGTCAGCAATCTTGATAAATCTTCAAGGATTCTAAAATGTAAATTCAGGTGCTATCTAGGACATTTTCCCTCAACTTTGGCGCTAGATATTTGTTATTTTCAGCTTTCAGTCAGCAAAGGTGTTTGTACGCCTAATGTTAATCAGGATGGTTACAATGTTTACGAGGGAACATAAAGCCCTATGTGACCTGAACACCCCTCAGTGTCCTGAGCAAACAATTTGGCCAGTGCATGACAGGAGTGCACGCCAGTCTCAAGTAAACAGTATGAAAAAAACTGTCAGTGCACAAACCATTAGAAAGGCAACATCCCTAATTTTCTTCAAGTTTGAGGGTTTTAATCCAAAGACCAATGTGCAGCGGTGATGAACAAGGCAATTTATTAAACTACGAGATCTGACCCCAGCCTGTTCACGGCGGAAGGCAAAATTTTTTATAAGGTAACATACCGGAAAACTTAATAAGTGCGGTCAGAAAATAATCGCGGGAAAAGTCGGTCTGGCGCAATATTTTGGACCGGCATACCCACCCCGTTGAGGGAAAGTTTTGTCGTATGCCAGGCTGCTATGAATGGGAGCATTGGGTCTGCGCCTATCTCAAACATTGTAAAGTGGATAACTTCTAGGGCGTTTGCAGCGGCACAAGCAACAAGAGGGCGAAAACGTTACCAGCTCTAAGCCAGGTTCTTGATCAGAACATGAAAGACTTACCGAATTATTCGTCAGGGTAGCACCGCTTTGAAGTTAAATGTGCACCGGGCTATAGTATGTCGGAAAACCTATGGATTTTAGCGTTATGTGAGCGGATCACTGCGCTTTAGAAATGCGCAATTCACGGAATTTCGTGACCAGAACGACCTCTGTGCTGCAACGTTGACAGATTCCACTAGTTTATCTGACCAACATTCACGAAAGTATAATCTAAGGGGCCTTAGGCAAAGCCGCAGCGTTGGTTCCCTCTGGTAGAGAATACATCTGGTTGATTGTTGTTGAGCAGGGTTCTTGTGCAAACAGTCAGTTTACTGTCAAAGTCAAGGCAAAACTTGTGAAATGAAACGGCGACTGGCTAGCCTGATGCAAGAAAAAGATAGCTGGATGGAGAAATAATGATTTGGAGAGGTGGAGCGTTCGGGAAATTTCTGAATTGTAACAGGACGTGCAGCTTTTAAGCGGGGAGGTTCAGCAAAACCTTATGACTTTACACACCCAGCCAATGTATGAAGGTAATAAGGAAGTGCGCCAATGCTGTGATTTGCAAGTAGGCCAATACCAGACTCCAAATATGTCACTGACAATGAAAGACCGATGCAATATCAGTAACATTCACCCGTTGATGCGCCGTGTCGCAGCAGGCGACAACGATTTTCCAAGCCATCGGTTTCCTGTAAATGTGTTTACCAATTAATTAGAGGACGTGATCATAAAGGTGGTCAGGCGAGTTAGTTCTTGTGTTTTGCCAGTGGTGGCGTTATTCCTCGGCATGTCGTTCTATGGCGACCACTGCCAACGTGTAAAAAATTGAATCACTGAATAATTCGGAATCAAAAAATTTGCGATATGGGGTATCTTAACCATGTGACTCGGAAACCTGATAAAACCTGACAAAATGTTCTCGGATGTTGTAAAAGACATTCGCAAAATTCACCTGCTGTATCTACCAGCTAGGCGGCTGTGGGTCTGTTGACCGCAAATCGTAAGTCATTCATTCAGAAGTGAATTCTGTTAGCTGAGGATTTCTCGCCGGTGTGCCGGGAGGCTTTGAGCTGTTTTTCTGCGTGTCCCAGCACCGGAGAAGACGCGGATATGCCGGGCGGAAACTTATAGGCCCACAAAGCAAAGGCAGTTTTTTGGCGATTTAGAGCTGGCACGCATTACTCCCGCAGCAAACTTCGGCTGTGGATCAGTCAGAGCTGACGATAAAATTGCTAAGTCCCCTGCTTTATAGGGGAGCACTGTGTGTCAGTTTTTGGCAAATACATGGTAATCGGTCCATTGTATGCTCCTTCGGCTTTTATAACAAATAGTCTGACGCACCCAGTTCTTTGATCGGCAGTTGTGGGAACGTTGGATTATTGTCATCTTTCGCAGACGGAATATTTTGTAAATTTTAGACTCCACAGACTACACAATGGTAGGCAGCATGGAGGAAGAGGGATGCACAACTCAGAATGACGCTAGTATGTTGCAGGACTTATGTAAACACATAGCTCAAGGGGATAAAATTTCGTGGCATCCCAATATTGCAGGGACACAGGCCGGAGAGCTCACTCCGCAGGATTACGGGTGATGAGGGAGGTGGGCCAAAATTTGTCTTAGGCAGAATGCACAAACACACGCAAAAAAAGGATGCTGCAGCTTACTGTGCAAAAAGAGCGCCATTTTATGTCCGAAATGCCTATTAGTGCCCACTTTCAAAATGTTCGAACACTGTTATGCCATGGCTTTGTAGGGCCGCTCACGGAATATTTGTAAATCCTGGTCGCTTCACATATGCAAAAATATCGATGTCTGAGGGCGCTCGCAGCCACTAAATGGATGAGAGGAATGATGGACAACCTCAGGGGAGTGTATAAACCATAGAAGGCGTGATCAAAAAGTAGTGTGCCTGGTCTAGGAAACGACGGTGTTTCAAGGATTTGATAAAGTGACGATAGAGGAGGGATCCACGCGTGATTTCGGGTTGTTTTTTGCGCTTTAATATTGATAATGATGATAATAATATTCATTCCCAACTAGGGGATGGCATGCTGTCAGGCATGATCATGTTACATCCAGAATGAAGACGTGACTGGCGGAAATTGTGGGTAGTGGGGATTGCGCGGAAAAGGGACAGTGTCAAAAATGGTGGGCGTTATCCACAGAAGCTTACTAACTGGAAAAAATTGTCAACTCGTAGTAGCCCCTCGCTTGTCTTTTTCAAGTGAAAGATTAAACGGTTCTCTTCTCTGGGTTAGCATACGCTAGGTAAGGATCTCACGTATTCCGTGTTTGCTGCCGCAGAGCAGGGGGAAAGAGATCAAGCATCCTTTGCTGCCGGCAGGGGGAAAGAGATCAAGCATCCCGAGACGCGTTTCGTAGTCCACGGATTTGAGGCCGGCAACCATTCTAGTGGCGGCCGGCCGGACACGCTCAATGAGGGT